AAAACAGAAGCCACAGTAACTCAACTAACTTTGGACTGAATGAAATGGAATAGAAAAATAATTTCTAAACAAAGAAACCTAACATTTCTCCATTATATAGACAACAATGGAGGTTTATTCAAATAATTTGCTTAGCATATTAAATTAATATAATAATATGAAAGAGGAGTAAAAGTAAACAGAGTAGATTAGGCATAATAATTACAGCAACATAAACTTGGATTGTTTTAGCTTTTGCATAACGACCGCTTGGGATTCCAAAGATCCGAGGCCATGATATGATTTGAGACGGAATTGACGACCCACCTAATGACTAAAGGGGCAATGGCCAAATGTCCATTGCAATCCCTCTATATTATTCCATTTTTACTTTCTGCCTAATGGGACCCCACATGGCTTAATCAAAATAGTTGGCAACCATGATGTTCCCTGTGGCTCCCACCCGACAGGTAGTAGCCGTTGTGACCCCACTTTTGATCATTCATTTCCCCAACACTAAACCATCATTTACCTATTATATTCTATTTTATTTACAGAAAAGTTCTTATTAATATTCCACCCCTTTTGATGTATTGAAAGTCGAAACTCGGGATCATCACTGGTGGATTGGAATGATTTTTTTACCCGAAATTATTAACATTATAGAAATAAAATTCAATTTTTGTTTAAATTTAATATTTTCATTTATTCTGAACTTGATATAAAATTTTGAATTAAATTTAATTTTTATTAAACATGATTTTAGTATCTTTTATATATATATATATTATTTTTTTACATAATTTAATATATGAATACATAAGAGAAATAATCATATGTGTGTGTATATATATATATATACATACATATATATGTGGGTTTTATTTTCTTTCGTTGGGGGTATGGGACAATCGTATACTATGGAATTGATTTGATTCGAAAAAATATTGTATAGGTAATATGTTAAATCTCAGTTTGCTATCACATCCAAATCTTCAAAATCAATCACGTAATACAAATTCCCTATATCTTCTTGTGGGAACTAAATCTAGTATCACATCCAAATACACACAGCTGTTGTAGGAACAATGATATAGAAACTGGATTTGGTGGTTGAGGCCGAACAACTGCATACGCATTCAATAATTAGTTTTTTTTATATATTAATCTATAATTTTTTGAAATTAATTAAAAAGTTTTTATATTAAATATACTTTGAAGTTTAGTTTTATGAGTTATATGTCAAAATTCATATAAATGAATGGGAAAACATAGCATACGGCGTCAACGATTTAAAATGGAAATGATAGCACTCTTGTTACAAAGCTATGTCCATTCATCCGAATTTCGGGTTTTACTTGACAGTAAATAAAATAAATAAAATTTTACACTCAAAAGTGGCAGTCAAAAGAACACATGAGCAACCTTCTGTTACTCTTAAGATGATTAACAAAGTGATAGTCAAAGGAATAGCGTATATGTGAACAACTTGAACTTTCCGTAGAATTGATTCCTTTTAACTGCCATAAAAGAAACTCGTTAACCCCCTTTATTCAATTTTACCCTTGAATCTTGATGGGTTCATTATAGCTTTATAGTCACCTCGGTTCAAGTTTCTCTGTTTTTGCTTCTTGACATACTCGTGGTTTAGTGGCACTACAACAAAGACGAAATCGTGGGGGGCAGAGCCATGTATGGTGTAAAGATGGGTCCCTCCAATAAATTCTTCAGATTAGATTATAGGGTAAGTATTTTTGTATGAAAATAATAGTTTAAAGCATATCATATCGTGTTGGTAAAGGTGATCCTGTAATGATAAATGTTGTCTCCTATGTGTGACTTTTTTTTAACATATCCTTGAAGGAGCATCTGAAGTGGTAGGCTTTATGTAAGGATCTTCAAATATATTCGGTTTATTAAAACAATAATTAGCATTATTATGACTATCACGATGATGATTATCTCATAACAAAGCACATGCCATGAGCAAATGATACTCGGGGAAGACATTTTATGCAAATTTTCAACTCCACTTGATTTCTATCTAAAAACCCACTGCACATTGTTGAGGTTTGATGGAAATCCAACTATAATTTATTTTACCTTGAACTTTACATACCCCATGGACAAGGACTCAACTTTGTTAATTATATATTTGCCATTGCATGATTGAAAGTTCAAGGTATATCCAGAGAGCATTCAGCCACTGCATACTGTTCGTAGATATATAAAAGCAAGTGGGGGGAAGGGCCAAGATTTTGATTCTGGAAGACAGAAACAGTAAGAAATAAAGGGAAGGGTGATGGTAATGATGATCGCACAAACACAGTGTCGAAACAGTGGGGAAAGGAGGCAATTGTGTCTGATGCTTGAGTTTGCCGTTTCCTAAGGCAAGCCCCATCTGCAGGTTGATTTTCATAGTCCAATAATGCCCATACATTGATCAACATAATATCACTCACCTTTAGGGTGCGTTTGGTTTACGGAATGTAAGATTATCAGTGGGAATAAAAGATTATCAAGGAATAGGATTACTGGAAATATTGTATTTTGTGTTTGGTTGGTTTAGCAGGAATGTAAGATTACCGTGTTTGGTTAAAGGAATAAAAGATTATTGGAATGTATATTTGACCAATTTGTATAATATTACAAATTGTAAAATATTTATATATTTTTTTTAAAATTAAATTCATAATATTTATATAATTTTTTATACAAAATTAAAAATATAAAAAAGGTTTAATGAAAGGGTAAATTTTTTTAAACCCCTAAACTTCATATAAAATTTTAATTATAGATTTTTTTTTGTAAATCTAAAATAATTGAAGGATAAATTTGTAATTTAACCTTCGTAGAATTTTTATTATTCAATGACAGGAGAAGAATATTTTTAGAAAAAAAATAAAAATTTAAGGGCATTTTAGTCTAAAACGCCGGTAATGTTACAACACCTAAGGGAATGAAGGTAATGACATTCCCGGTAATATACCCAAAAAATCTACTATTAGTAATAAAACATTATCGGGAATGAGATTCCCGACTAACCAAATATGAGAATCCCACAATCCTTAAACCAAACACCCCTAATATCATTAGATGGGACATAAAGGCAGCCGCGGCCGCTCATTTTGTTATTCCCTCCATTTTGGATTTTACTCGCTTCGCATGTTTCCTCGCCTCGTAATTCCAAATTGTCATACCCTTGAATTATTATTTACTTCATTAGTTTTTAGGGTTATTTTTGGTTTAGATTGTAAGATTTTAAGACTTTTATAGGCAACATGTTCAAAAGAAATTCAAATACCAACACCTATAACTCATCCCTATGTTCAACATTTCTTTTTTTATCTTCTTTGATTCTATAAAAAATGATTTAAATAATTAATTGATTAAACTTGTTAGGGTAGCACAAGGGTCGTGAATTAGTCAAAGGGAAGGCTTTCCACTTTACAACAATGACGACTTTTATGGTGCGAAATTGGGTCCATCAGCTTTCTTGGGAAAATATTGGTGAGAAAGTTTGGTTACCAGCTCCCTTTATGGACCATTGAAACAATGAACCATTGACCCCAAACATATGAACATGATGGGTGTGGAACAAGCCACACACACACACGAGTAAACATTTTGGGATATGAATTATCTACATTTATAGGCTTCTAAATTGTAATATATTCCAAAAAGAAAATTGCACATGCAAACATTCTTTAAGTCAACAAACGAGTTCCACGGATGCTTTCATTTCCATAATTTATCTTTGCTTGTCATTACAGGCATGCTGATTTTTGTTTCCTAAATTTAGCGCCAAAAAATAAAATCATTCCCAATCTTCGTATAAGAACTTTATAAAATAGTTATATAATAACATAATAATATGATAAATAATTTCTTCGTTTTTTGGGTACCTAAACATTAGTTTTTGCCACCAACCCACATCACATGCCAAGAAAGTATTCCATAACCAAAAGAGAATAACAATAACAAGACAATAGGGGCAGATTATTTATTCAGTGAAAGAATAAGATATTTTATAGGACAAGAAAACTAAATTCCTTTTTCCAATTTATTTTACCTTCACTTTGAACTAAAAAAATGAGAGACATATGATTGAAACCAAACATTGTCTTGTTCAAGATTCTTGGGCCGACTATTTAAACTAATGAAGCACTTGGATTTGGTATATATTATGATTGGAAAATTTTGTTAAACAAAGGACGATGTCATCTTATTTTAACTGCAAAATCCAACCGTATTCAACAGCTTCTGACCTTGGGTATGTTTTATAATGTTTAAATCTTTACACGTGTCCAGCTTTCCGAATTAAACTATTTGCGTTATGGTAAAAAGATTGATCTTTATAGGGGCGGAATCAGACCCTATGCTTTTCAAAATCCAATCAATGGAAATGAGAAAATTGGGTAAAATAGACAACGCGGTTTCCTTTACAACCTAAGCAGTAGAACAATATAAATTACAGAAGAGAATTTTAATGTGTAATTTCGTTAATCATGCAAATAATTTAGTGTTAGATATTCTCAGTATTCATTTTTTGAAGTAAAAACCTTACATTATTGGGTTTTGACCAAAACAAACGTGAACGTTGATTGCTGATTTCATACATTTTTCAAGGTAACAAATATTTCTTTTGTTTTCCCCCTTGGTAAGTTGAATTCATCTAGATAAGGTGGCCAAAACAAGTAAAGGGACAAGCTAATGTAGTAGAACCAAAGGAGCAGAGGTGTGATTATTGGTTAAAGCTGAAAATGGCAGGCATTTGATGCCATGTATGATTGTTGAGGCTACTTGGCGTTGGGTGCCTGGCAATGCCATGGTTTGAGTTCGAAAGACTGACCAACCATGGGGGGATATTAGAATTGGGGAATCGATAGGCTTTTGTCCAACCTCTGTTATATTTATTTAGAGAAAAGAAAAAGCAACAGAAAAGGGACAGGAAAATCAAGAAAACAACAGTTTCTGTTGCTGCCCCTTATAAGACTTGGAAGATTACACCCGTAAGCCCCATATTTGTTTTATTTATCCTCTATTTCTCTCCCTTATTCTCAGTTCTCACGCTTGAACAGCAAACAAGAATCACTTTTAACTTCAGTTCTTCTGAGGTTTCCATCTCTGAGAACATGGACAGTCAGAGAGGCCCTCTTCTTAGCTTGGCTTACTTCTGTCAGGGAAAGGTAACAACACACACATTTCTTGCTGCTCCTCTCTTTCTTATGTTTGAGTATGTAAAATTGGGTTTTTTCTTTAATTATGCAGACAATGGAGGAGCTTAGGTATTCTCTTTTGTATACTACTTTGGAGCTAGAACAGACTAGGATGGCAGCTCAGGAGGAGATGGAGAAGAGAGATGACCAATTAATCCAACTCAAAGAGTTGCTAAGCAAGGCAACGAGAGAGAGAGATGAAGCACAGGAGAAATGCCGGAAACTTTTCCTTGAGAAGCTCCTGCTTCACCAACAGCAACAGCAGCAACATGTTGCTCCTCTCTCCGGAGTTTCTGGCGTAGAGGATGAACGCAAAAGAGGAATTGACTCCAACAATGGTTTCTCTTCCTCTGATTGTGAGGGAAGCATTGTTTCATCTCCTGTTCTTGACCCAGTTCAACAACCACAACTGCCACCAGCACCACCATCTCAATCCATAGAACTAGTGCCTGATAAGCCATTGCCTGAAAAGGGAAAGCTTTTACAGGCAGTGATGAAAGCTGGGCCGCTCTTGCAAACCCTTCTTTTAGCTGGACCACTGCCTCAATGGAGACACCCACCACCACCACTCGAGTCCTTTGAGATCCCACCCGTGACACTTCCTTCACCTCCACCACCCCCGCAACTCCTCCAAGACTCCCTGACCAGCATTAACGCCTACAATACTCTAAACACTTGTGGTCAAATAAACAGGAAAAGGGGTCTTTATGATGCATCTGATTCTCCTACCGAAACCAAATGCCGACAACTAGTTCTTAATTGACTGCCGCTACAAACAAGTCTAAAAGAGTATTACTAATTCCATAAATTTTACCATTTTTAAACTTATTATAGGTTAGTCAGGGTGAACATCAGCCTATCAGGGAATGGTGACTGATCTCAGCATTTTTGTACAGAGGGTTGTTCCGAGAAGCAAACTCTTAGGAGAGAATCAAACAGAGCTTTGTTTCTTGGCTTTTTGCCAATGTTTTTCGGTGAAGATCTTTTGCCCTTGTTTTCCCTCCCTTGATAGTTCTTCCCCCATGATGTGAAAGGGAGCTTTGAATTTGATTTCTCTTAAAAAAACTACCAGTGGCATGTGAAAATTTAGTACTAGTATAACTTTAGCTTCTATAGTCTTGACTAAAATGTGTGCTGTGTGGGACTGTCTGAGAATTGATAGAAATTAGATGGATTTGGAAGCACAAGGATTGGGTGTGGTGTTGTTGAAATGGGAAGATGGGTATGGCCAACAACCAGGAAGGTTTAAGAGGCTTGCTTGTCGGATGAGTGGATCCCACAAAATCAGAATCAGGATCTGCTGCTTTTGTAATGATGTATCATCATATTTATATTTTGGTTGAGGGAAGCGTCATTAGTGTTATTTGTTTCTGGAAATCAATTTCCCTATTCTGTTTCTAATGCCCATATTAATATACTAATGTCCCTTTGTTTATCTATCTGCTCCCACTTAAAACTTGTTTATTGTTTTTTATTCTTAAAAGCAAAAATAATGATGGATTTTCCCTTCCTTACAAGGGTCGGGGAAACATTTCTCATTTGTCAATGCTTGTTAGAGAAGTAAGACCTTTTTCTAAATGAACCTTGAAATTTAATTAAATGGGAAAATTAGTGATTAGACTCGCTTCTACATTACACCCGTGGTCTCGAGGTCCAACTCCAAATAAAAAAAAGCACATAAGATAGGGCTGAAAGTCATTTGTCTTAGTTTTAACAATATTGTTCAAAATTCAAGCCTGAGGCCCAATTAGAAAATGAAGAGAAAAAGGGGCGAAGCTAGCCCAGTGTGCAAGTAAAAGAGATCCAGATAATGCTTTTGTTTATTAGACAACCCAAAGTTGTCGAGTCTATAAAGACTGAAGCAACAAACAAACAGGGATTTTCAGAGGGAAAGGGCGTCCAGTGCAAGTGCAGTTGATGGAAGACTTGGTTGAAAAGTTGGGTGGTGTCGACACCGTTTTCCGTCCGGGCGGGTGAAAAACTTAGTACAACTTGGGGTTTTATTTGAAAAGGTTTTGAAAAGATTTTGAAATGTTTTGGAGTCGCCATCGACCTTTTGAGGTAGGTAGGTCGAATACTTAAAAATTTTCTTTTAAAATAGTTTTTAAGAAAAACGTCATTTTAAAAGATACACTGATCCACGTGTAACCAGAAATTCATTTTTAAGCAATAATAAGGGTTCAGAGGTCGATTACGTGTGGGGAAGGATAAGCACCCCCACAACGCCCATAATTGGTACCACATCGATTATAAATTGTCTCTAATAGTGGAAATCTAAGAATTTGAATATAAATTTAAGTTACGATCCTATTATTCCATATTCAACCATACAATTTTTATTTAATGAAAAATTCTAAGGAGAAATAGAAAATATTATAATATTTACAATTGAAGACAAAATAATCCCTAAAATACTGTAGGACGGATATTTCTCTTTCCAACTGAAATAAAAAGAATATAATAATTTCTCCCAATAACTTAATATTAAAATAATGTGATTCAACCAAAATGAATAAAACTAAAATAGGCATATTCAAAAGTTTTAGGTTTTTCTAAATAGATTATTTATTTATTTTAAAATATCATAATAAGACATCTAGTTTCTTTAAGACCGTCCCTTCTTAACATTTTAAAATAAATAAATACTACCCTTAATCCAATTATGAAATCGATTAAGTTATGCTTATGAAGCTTTCATACATATTCCAAATATAGATCTATATGCACAAACAAATTCTCATGGAAAAAGTTATAAATAAAAAATACTAATTAGGAACAAATAAATGAAAATTAAAGCAAAGATAAAAATTAAATGCTATTCAATGATGGAAATAAAATTGGACTAAATTAACAAGGGCATACTTTAAAGCATAAATATTACGTTAAATAAGCAAACAAAATATAATTACTGAAATGAACATTACAAAAATTAAAGTCCTAAATAATAAAGATTAAATAATAAATACAAAAATGAACATTACAAATGTAAATAAAGAAATTAAAGTACTTAAGTTAAAAACATAAAATTGTACATTCACCTAAATTATAAATAATAAAATATAAACATATGCATCACTTAAAATACATACTACAAATTTTACATGCCAAATATAATGTATAATACATTACACCACAACTCGGGACTAAAATAGAATATTACAAATTATATGCCAAATGAGAAATAAATAAAAAAGTGACTAAAATAAATAAATTACAAATATCACATCCAAATCATAATATAATAAAAACAAAATCCAAACAGTGACTAAAATGAATAAACATAAAAACAATGACTAAATTCGAAAGTTAATAAAATCAATATGCATATTCAAAATAAATAACAAAATAAAATACCAAAGTGCAATAGAAGCTAAAGTATAAGGAGCTTAAGGATGTTTATACCCTGATATTGACCAAAATGCAAGATACGCTGAAATAGGGAGGACTTGGAATGCGATTTGACCCTAAAACAAATGAACAAAATAGAAAACCCCTAGAAATAGGGACCTGATTCGTGATTTAACCATTTTCTATACAAACATAATATTTTTCTCCTGTTTCACGTGAAACTGCCGAGAACTTACAAAGCTTCCAAAACTCACCTCGGCCGCCGCTTGCCGGCCCTCACACGCAGGCTACCGAGCCGGTGACCGACATACACCCACCGCCGACCTCGATCGAGGCCGTAGGAGGACTGACCACCCTTGAATGGCCGAAAAAAACTCCCTGTTTTCCTCCTCTCTCACTCTTTCTCCTCTCTATTCGACGGCCGAGAGAGCTAAAAACGAGCCCCAACGACGACCACCATGCCTTGGCCACTCAACGACGAAGACCCGAACTCCGATTAACGCCCGAACCGACCGAAGCAAACTACCCAAGGGTCCAAGTGACCCAAACTATTTTCGTCTCTCATTTCTTTCGATCAAGGCCCGACCAATGACCCTCCCTACGCTCACCTACGGCCACCAACAGCCGAAACTCACTCGTCGGCCATCGCTCAATGGTAGTCACTCTCCCTGCAACTCATGAACCCCTGAAACCGAAACAAAAACCAAGTGAGAAAGCAAAAAAGAAAGGAAAAGAAAAAGCAATATTGGAGAGAAAAAATAGTCAAAGCAAACTGTCTTTCATTCCATCTTTTTCGGGAAAATAAGCTGTTGATTTTACATGGGGTGGTTGAGGGTATTAATAACCCCAATTGACACATTATAATAATCTTTCTTTTTTTAATAATAAAATAATACAAGTAAAAAAATGGTGGTTACAGCTGCCCCTCTTTGCTCATTGTTGTGAAACAGGAATAGAGCAAAGATAGTAAGCACCATTTTTTATCTGGCCTAAGCTACTAAAATCTTGAACTCCAATTTCTTCTGATCGGGTGAGTTCTTTTCATTATGAACTCTTCGCTGGGGATGTCAATCTACTATCTTCTGCGATGGTTGCCCCAAGGTGACGCTGATCTAACTCCTTATGCGATGGATTTGAGTGAAATGAAAATGTTGATCTACCTCTTTCTGCGATGGAAACAAGCTAAGGTTGAACAAGTTCTTCTCATTATGAACTTCTTCTCCTTTATCGGATGAGTTATTCTCATTACGAACTCTCCACTGGAAATGTATCCCTCGAGTGAGATGTTGTTGATTCAACTCCATATGTGACGAATCGAGCTAAGGTTGAACAAGTTCTTCTCATTATGAACTCCTTCTCCCTCATCGGATGAGTTCTTCTCATTATGAACTCTCCATTGGAAATATTGATACCTCAAGTGAGGTGTTACCGATTGAACTCCATATGCGATAAATCAAGCTAAGGTCGAACAAGCTCTTCTCATTATGAACTCTCCATTTGAAATGTTGTGTAACACCCCCAACCCGTACCCGACCCGGATATGAGTCAGAGATACTACATTGACTTTAAAACACAACTTTTAACAAATAATAGCAAAATATTTGAACTTATATTAAGAAAATACGATAATATACATATTGTAATATAAGTTTACCAAAATATTCAGAGCATACACAACTTAACCCTTTAATTACATGCCAACTGCCATTTACATAACAAAATGACCTACTGATTAAGTTGCTTCTGATCTGGTGGTTGCAGGAGTAATGCTGTCAAGCTGCTTAACCTGTCTCGTCTACTTTCTCGGATCCTACGTGTGAAACACTCACACGCTAAGTCATCGACTTAGTGAGGCAATGTAATAATAATAACAAAGCAATGTAATGACTATGTCATAATGATATGAAATGAGATGCAAACATGTACTTAATCAATGTAGTCTACATCATCAATATCCATACCTGTAAGCATATTACTTTAGCATTCATGAATTTGTATGAATAAGTTTATTGGCCCATGATATCATACTGAGAACCTAAGGTATCTGAGTAATGTGAGGTTGTGCACTATGCTGTCACCACAGCTCGTATAAATGCACCGAAGTGCCGCGTAGAATTGCACCGTATTGCCATATAATGATGTCCATAAGGACCACATATAATTCCTTAAGAATCATATACATATACTAGGGATCAAGTATGTGTCTTTCCAAGACTTCACACATGTTCCAAAGAATATACATATGTCCCGAAGGACCGCGTAGACCCTCTACCCTTGGCATGCCAACTATACCTATAGTTCTCATCTACATAACATGGGCTTTTACATTTCACGTAGTCTATATCGCGTAGACATGTAAATTCTTACCTTTTCACATAGCTCATAACTTTTCCCACATAGTCATGTCATATAATGCATTTTATATGAACTCATGTCATGTATCATAATACAGAATATGCTCATGTACCAAGATATAAAATCTAGACTTATCACAAGTCTAGAATGGAGTATATTTCTATAATTATGCTATGCATATGCACTCACCTATATTTCTTTGCCTTTTCCTCGATCGATCCTACTTGTAGATTGTTCCCAAACTCGTGTAGGCTCAGTATCTACATAATAATTCAATGATACTTATCAGTATACTAATTAATATATTCTAAACTATCATTCCTTAGACTCATAGAAAAGCCAATTTCATCCTTTAATGAAGGTATGCATCGATGCACTACTGATGCATCGGTGCATAAAATGCATTCGATGTTGTATTATTACTGGGATGCATCGATGCATGACTTATGCATCGATGCACTAATTGCATTCGATGTTTCTATTTTAAAAGAGTGCATCGATGCATTACTAATGCATCGATACACCTTCAAATAATTTCTGGGTTTTAAACTTTATGCATCGATGCACTATGAATATGCATCGATGCACTCTGCCCAGAATCCTCTTTTATGCCCGAAAATCCACTCTTTTCAGCTTAATACTTCATATATCATCCTCTTTCTTATTTCCTAACTTGCATACTCTTACTTAAGCTAATTATTATCCATTAAATATTTCTAA